CCTCGTGTAGCTTTGCGCGAAATTCGAAAAACAAACAAACAATCCTCTTCACATCTAACAGAGCTGCAACGTCGCTTCAAGATACGCATAAACTGAAGTGTTTGGAGCAGTTGGTCCCTTTAAAATGCCCACTTTAGCTTCTCTAGCCCGCCTAAATTAACTCTGTTTTATGTCAGCTACGCGAATAAACGTATATGTTTCCCTTCCTAAAAAGAAATATTAAAGTTTTATGCAAAAATATTTTAGGGCTCCGACCATCAGTTTAAGTTTCCGCACTTTTCTCTTTCCAAACAAAGGAGTCTACCATTTAAAACGCTATAGTATTTCTGTAATATGATGTAATTCTCGTACCAATCGAATTCCTTTTACTCTATAGAACATGCAGAGGATAGAAATATTTAGCCACGCATATAATGACTACGAAGCATTTTCACATGGGTCAGAACGATGCTTCATTAAAGGCAAGCCTAGATATGATTTCCATTTTAATGGTTTGTTGCGGATTTCTTCTCTAGACGCGATACATTCCGGCTTCGTCTGTTATTCATATGCTCATTTTAAATAGAAGAGAATGAATAAAATAACTTGTGTAAATATCTTTTAGGTATTTTAAAATTGTGCAAAAATAGCACAACCTCTTACTGGATTCATTTCTGCATTATTCAGCATGTAAGAAATATTCTGAAATTGCGTCCTGGGATTCAACTAGCTAATAGGAGTTAAGACAACTACGAGAATGGCATTTAAAAAATATATAGAATCCTGTAGTTATGTAGAAACTGTACACAGTCCTATAGTCTCTAAAAACTTATTTGTGAAAAATCCATAGAAGTTTATATAATTGAAAATAATTCTGTCTCTATAATAAATCTTTGTATAAAAATCAAACTTTTTATATAAACTAGATGTTTAGATTTGTAGAGTATAATCATTTACCAATACTCTAAAACTTATTGGTCTTGCAATGCATATCATGATTTTATTCTTAATTTCAGAACTTCGTGGACTTGAAGCAGGTGTTTGCACATGTATTATTGTGAAATAAAGTTGTATAGTTTGTTAGTTTCTTTATGCACGGTGTTTATCGTATTCTGCAATTACACACTGCCCACATGTGGTGGGCTTTAGTCGAGTATACAATTAACACCAGATCTTTCCCTCAGCCGTAGGCAACTCAGCGGTAGGGATTTATCCGATTTTAGTAAACCTTATAGAGGATGTAGCATGCAATGAGATATGGCGATTAGTATTTACAGTTTCCAAACCAGACAAAAATTTACCAAGTTGTGACTGGTCATATCTTCAGCAGAAACCTTATGGTTAAAGACAATAGTTCTTGTTGTGTAACCGATGGGTTCGCTACGCGTGCCTTCTTCATCTTCGCCCGTCGTTACATATATTCCAATAGATCTTCAACAGATAGCTCCAAGCCCCACTGACCGTGATTGAAACTTTGCTACTCTTCGGCATGTCATCATCAACCACCATTATTCCCTCAATTACTTGCATGTGCAAGGTTCCGAAATGTTTGACTTACAACCCGTGCAGCCGTAATGGTTGCGATCACAACTGACTTCTTGACAGCCCTTGTTGAAGCAAATCCATCTATCAAGTCTGAAGATGTTGTGGTGGCGCTCAAAATTAAGTTTGGTGCTAATGAGGACAATAGTGATAGTAGTAGTAGTAGTAGCCTCCCACCAGAAGAATAAAATATGTTACCATCATATTTATTTCATATTTGGATACAGCAGATTCGGAACTTTTCAACGGTATGCAAAACCTCCAAGAAACAATTAATAAAACTTTTTGTTCCTTGCCCTGTCACCCCCAAAACATCACTTTGGTTGAGGGAGAAATCCTGTGTCAATCACTGATTAAGATCCATACATGTATCAGATGTACCAACAGTAAGTGCAATAACTCTACCTGTTTCCCGTCCGTTTCAAATAGCATTGAAAGCCTAGAATAGTGTAAATTGTATTTTACTGAGGAGGTTATCAATACTTTTTGTGTAATTCGTTTTATTGCTTTGCTAAACACGAAATATTGATGCACTATGTGTAGTAGCTTTCTCAAAAGAATTTTGATACCAAGAAAAATTATCGTGCTGTGTGTTATGATAAAATTTTTATAATGAATCAAGACAGTTTAATTTACATAATGTTTTCGAAATTATCGGAGTTCCAACAAAATCCCAAACAGTTGCTTTATAGAATATCCTCAGAGACCTTTAGAATTTTTCATAAATAATTAAAGTAATTCCAAACACTTCTTACCTGTCAAAAGATATGCCTCTCGTCAGATTAACCCTGTTAATAATCATGAAGATTTAGAAACTATTGTCCGAGATGACATGTTTATTGAAAATGTTCACATCGAAATGGTTGAGTTGCCATAAGAAATAGTTAACTGATCAGCAGTGTATTGTTCTATATATTTATAAGCAAACGAGACAAAATCAGTCTTTTTATGATAGTGAATTACATTAATATCCAAAGAACTTATAACTGTTAACAAACCATTTAATAAGACTATGTAGCATAATTTCTATACAATCTCAGTGAGTAGATGCTGTGCAGAACTGTCAACCTAAAGAAAAAATAATAATAAAATGAAATTTATTACAATATAAAACTGGCACTTTGTATATCATACTCTTGTATTGCAGTTATTATTTGATGACAATTATTAAGTTAAATCCGCGCTACGCCGTGGTGGTACATAGGAGTCAGTTCTAAACTTTGGTTTCAATGGCACATGCGGACAAAAATGGTGAAGCTAAGTCCACTTTGACTGGATACCAGTCCATCGCAGGTTAACCCTTAGCTACCCGCTGGTATTAACTATACAACTAGGTAGATTGAGACAAGTGGGGTATTGCTTAAGGATACAGCGACAGATCGCAAGCAAGCCCCGAACTTTCAATCTTCTGACCAAGCCCTAGTCACTGGGCCACTCTGTCTCCATACCAAATTATTAATACTTGTAATCCGTGAACATTATAGACTTTTGAGACCTACAATTTTAACTGTTTGGTTTGGCTCAATCTTAGTAAACAACAACAACAACAAAAAAAACGGGAAAACAGAGCACATATAGTATCTAATGTAATTCCTTTGTCCCACATTGTATTAGGCTTAGGTGTCCCACATTGTATTAGGCTTAGGTGTCCCACATTGTATTAGGCTTAGGTGCAATATAAATTGCGAGTGACACTACTTCTACTTTGGTTTGGTTGGTTTGTTTTAAATTTCGCGCAAAGCTACACGAAGGCTATCTGCGCTAGCCGTCCCTAATTTCGCAGTGTAAGCCTAGAGGGAAGGCAGCTAGTCATCACCACCCGTCGCCAACTCTTGAGCTACTCTTTTACCAACGAATAGTAGGATTGACCGCACATTATAACGCCCCCACGGCTGAAAGAGCGAGCATGTTTGATGAGCCGGGAATTCGAACCCGCAGATTGCGAGTCGAGTGCCCTAACCACCTGGCCATGCCGGGACTCGAAATGATTTAAGAAAAAAATTAATATGGTAAATCACATTAAAACAATTTTTCAAATATAATGAGCTTCTATATCTTTGGGTTAATCTAAAACCAGGCAAGATAACTACTATCTTCAGTAATGAAAAATCGACACCAATTTAAGCATCACTGTAAAGTCCATAAGTTTACATCAAGTGGTATCATTGTTATTTACACTTGAAACTTAGTGCTATGAAACTATAGGACAACTATTATTGTGAGCCAGGGATTCGAACCCGCGACCCCTAGATTGCGAGTCGAGCGCCCTGGCCATGCCGGGCCATTTCGGATTTTACAAGTGTATAGGTATTAAACCGATTTTTAAGTATTTCTATCTAACCCTTCAGCCCGTTTAGATACATACATCCATGTTCTTTTTTCAGAATAAGACTAAACGATTAGTCATTATGATGAAATGATAGCTCACTCCATGAATGGATACACATTAATAAATCCAGTACTGTAAAAACATCCAAATTATATGGATTGCAGAAGAAAAGTAATAACACTGAGATTATAAAAAGGAGAGTAATACCTTTTTGGTATAAAACTGAAACCTAAATAACTGCTTAGCTTAAATTTGAAGAAACTTAGACGAAAATTTGATATTTCATTTATTCAGTAGCTTCTTAGTTTCGTTTGATTGAAGGTTATGCCTAACTTTGAAATTTTCTTTTTCTGAAGAAGCAGTCTTTGTGCACATAAGTTCATATGGTAATTAGTAACAAAGTTTTACTAAAGTTTCAGTTTGGTGCGAGTTGCATTTTTAATACCTTTTCTTTTGACAAAAATCACACCTCGAATAATTGGTCTGATTTGTTTTGAATTTCGCGCAAAGATACGAGAGGACTATCTGCGTCCCTAATTTAGTAGTGATAGACTAGAGGGAAGACAGCAAGTCAACACCACCCATCGCCAACTCTTGGGCTACTCTTTACCAACAAATAGTGGGATTGACTGTCACATTATACTGTCAACAAGGCTTAAAGGACGAGCATGCGCGGTGACAGTGATTCAAACACGCGATCCGTAGAGTGCGAGTCGAACGCCCTATGCCAGACCTACTTTGATTAAACAACACCTTCTTGAAATTCTATGAAAATATGTTTAATCACTTACCGTTATTTTTTTAACCATAAAAAACTCACTTTTCTAAATTGTATAAAATAATAATAATAATTACAAAATGGGTGTATGTTATAAATCAATGTAAAAAAAAGAAAGAACATTTTTGCAACCTAACGTATACGGAGTATATTACGGGCAGCGACGTAAGTATGCCCCCGCAATTGGTGGGGAGAGGGGAAGGGGCGAGCCAAATGAGGGTCCGAAAGACCTGACAAACTTAAGAATTGCCGACAAAGGGAGCAAATGTAGGGGCCCAATTACTTTTTTATGCGGGAGGAGCATCTTTCGTAGTTATGCCACTAATTAGAGGTTCATGAGTATCCAATGAAACGAGCTACTAACTTGCAAATGATAAAGAAAATTACAATACAAAATATTTTTAATAAGTGTAAAATTAATACACAAAAAACACTTGTTTGCGCCTAAACTTCATAAAGGTTACAAAACACGTTCATGTATTTGCAGTAGTCCAGATCCAACAAACAAAAAACCTCACAGCAGATACAAAAAAGGCTAAAAATCATAAACAAAACCACACTAGTAGCTTATATAGACTGTTCTATTTTTAATGTACTTACGACACTTTGGAATGTTCCTGCACTTTCGACGCTGAACGAGTTTGTTGGGGCACCTTTTCCCTCCATTTCGTGAATGTATTTCAATTCTTCTACGCCGTTCTTTCCGAGATTTCCCACAGGTGGCGCTGCACGAGCTAAATTCCGACCATTCGGAAACCTGGCAGTCAACTACAGGCTTTCTGTTATAGTCGTGTATTCTTGTAGCTGACGTGGTAAGTGAACTTAAAGGGACTGTAATTTAGAAACCATTTTGTTTGTATGGAGATATTGCCAAAATTCGTCAAGTAGTAATAACGAATGTTTGGAATAATACTTCATTTTCACTAAAAATCTCTAGAATACTGGCCTGTAACTTTTTGAAGAAAAAGTCTATTCAGAGAAAGTATTGCAATACATTAATATTAAAAATGCTTAAAATCTATTCACGTGAAAACATTAACAAACGTTTACTTACTTTCATGCATGTGAGAATGAAACAAAATAGTTGTATTACAATGATGACGTAAAACAAAAAAATGCTCTTTCAAATAAAGTAAAATTAACTTGCAAATGCTTAGACAGCTGGTTTGTAGTATAAAAAAAACGAAACAGTGTAGCAATTGCATGCAAAAAGGTGTAAAGAAACGAAATAGTAGTCATGCCACTAGAAATTACAGTGCACGCTTCGGAAGATGCATTTGTTAAAAAAAAAAATCTTCACACACCACAAACTATTCCGTTCTTGAAACGACTAAAGGTATTATCAGTTCTGTACTGGTAAAATCTTAGCGGTGGGTTCAAAATGTCGAAAGAATCTAGAAGAGCGAAAGAAACACAAGCTTCACGTTTCTCTTAAATATATCAGAATCACATTCCCAGTAGAACTTTTCCTATTAGTGCCAGTAACAAAAAACACTTTTATACACTCTCTGAATGGCGTATCAAGTGCAACGAAACGCAACAGTAAGATTGTAAATAGGTTACACTATATAAATTAACGCTTCAAGTAACGCTTTAGACTCTTTTAACCCATTCACAAAGAAAAAAACTTGTTGACGGCAGCTTACAGTGCCAAAATGTAAATGTATATATATATATATTGATACACTCTTCGCTTAAAAAAAAACAACAGGTATTGGACTTGTATAGTTTAGATATGTTTAATCAGATATTGTAAGAAAATATTTTCTAAATTTTCCTTAAGCTGTTCTGCGTGCTGTATGATATTCCTGCTAATTGAACGTCGAAAGGTCATAAACATCCACTAACCCTTTTACTCGGATAAAGACTGCATAAGGCAATGGCTAGAAACTCGTATAAATTGGTCCGTACGTTTGTCCCTCCCTTCACGGATATGGGCAAGCTAATCTCGAGGGGTAATACATATATTATTATGAGTTAGGGGTTTTCTCCCATAAGGGGTAATACAAACATTAATATGATGACTTGGGGAATTTTCCTCCCTATAAATGTTGTTTGGCATAGTCGATGTTGTATGCAGCATTAGATTCTGGTATGCCACACTTTAATTCTTTGTCTGAATTTAAACGGTGATTTACAATTACTCTTGTCTTTGTTCCGTTTAAAAGAAGCATAAGCCTTTATGTCCCTGTTCTGTGTGAAAATAAAGGTTAAAAAAGCTATTCACCTCAGCTTTATCACTTGAGAAAAAGTAGTATACAGTACATTCTGTCCGCACAACATCTTCTATATTGAAATAAGACACTACATAATAATAACCTGTAACACACACACATCGCAGAGATTGCAAATCAACACAAGTTGTAATGTTGACCCCTTTAAGTCACATAGAGACAGATTAAAACACTATTTAATGATAATAATGGCCTGTAACACACACGCATCGCAGATATTGCAAATCAACACAAGTTGTAATGTTGACCCCTTTAAGTCACAT